TCAGCAACTTCTCTGATAGTGATTCGACGATTTTCCAAAACAATTTTCGTCACTGCTTGAACGTTTTCATCAGTTGTTGACGTGCTTGGGCGTCCAGAGCGAGGCTGGTCATTGGCATCTTCCCGGCCATCTTGGAAGAGTTTGTACCACTTGTACACATTTTTTTTACTCAGAACAGTTTCACCGTATGCCACTGTCAACATTTCAAGTGTTTCAGAGCACTTAATTTTATTTTTTACACAAAATTTGATGCAAATCCTTTGATCCATATTTTTCGATAGCAAAAAATCGCCGAGCTCGCAAAACAACTTGTACCTTTACGCCTCTCACAACCAAACAAAAGAGGATGTTCCATTGAAACTTGGTACAGATGTTAGGGAAGAGTGTACCAATATAACAAAACAAAAAAAACGATAATCGAAAATATGTTGCCCGCGAAATTTGAAAAGTCACCTTACTTTTTGAACACACCTCGTATATAGAAATTGACAGTGTGTTTTGACAAAATTCAACCCCTTAAGACGCTCCCAATCCTTTTTATTAGGGTCAGGGATAGGTGGGTCGGAAAACTAATCATGACACAATCGTCACATATTTTTCGAATTGGTGTATAGGCTACACCTTCTATTTCAATTGTTGTCTTTTCTGGTATCGCTGTCGGTTTTGTTACAAACTTTAAATTATAGTCCTTAATAAATTTTATCTTTTCAAGAACTCTCTCAAATATTTGATCAGAACTACCTGCTCTCTTGTTATAGACCTCTATTTTATTTTCAAGATTTGAAATTTTTTTCGACGATTAATACTTTGACTTACAAGTTTTCTTCCCCCAACTTTCTGACACACTCATCTGTATATTGTTTTGTGGTCAAGTCATTTTCATCTAAGGGCTTAATAGCGTTTTTAACTCTTTTATTTTGAGCGTTTAGATTACCATCACTATCAATAAAAAAAATTTAATTTAATTTAACACCTCTTTTTAAATGATCTGATCGCTCCCTTTCATTAGAAAAATGTCCAAACTTGTCAACAGACATGATGATTATAAATAAAAATCTTTTTGTGTTTCATATATATACTCGAACTAAACAATAATTCCCTCCTCTCGTAGTTCCTCTACTATTGAGGAAATCCCATTATTGTGATTGTTGTTACCCGCTGTTTTTGACGCCACCAAAATTTGTAACCGTTCGACTAGTTCATTCACATCATTCCAATATATATAATTTGGTTTTGATTCCTCCAGAGTCATATAACCGAAACCAGTTTTCGTACAAAGTGGAGTGGATGTTGTAGGATTTTCATTATCGTTTATTATTTCTTTTATAATTTTAGTACTTTTAAATGCGCGGGAACCTTTAATTCGATTATTCACGTTATAACCTAATCTGTGAACATTTGTTTCTAATATAATATTTTTATATGTTTTCAAATCATGATCATTATAATTTTGGGGGTGAAGACCAGGAGTTAGCTCGCAACTCATTCCACTAGACAAATGAATCTTATTATCATTAATTTTTAGTTCACTATTCCCTAATGTTAATACATTATCTAAACTCTTTTAGGTCCGTAAGCCTTGTCTAATACATTTTCCCGACTCAAATGACTGATATTAAAATTATAATTTTTATTATCTATCTCGTCTTCTATATTTATATCTTCCCTCATTTCATTTTCTTTTGTAGGCATTGATATAGTTTCTGGCTCACTCCCTTTGTCCACATCATCATTATATGTTTCGCTTTTCTTTCCTTTTTTAAAAACATTTGTTTGGGAAAAAAAATCATTATACGAATCACTATCATTCATAGATCGGTATTGAGATAAGTTTCGTTCTGTCTGATGTTGTCTCCCATTGGTTGTATAGTACAGATCATCGTCATCTGTCATATCATTCTCATACTTTTCATTTTCGTATAATTCACGTTCAACCTTGGCTCCTACATTTGTTTTTAAAAATGTTTGCTTTTTATTTTCGTTAACAAGTTCATGTAAAGTTTCTGTAATAGGTTTAAATGTTTCCTCCAACTCTACAGCACTTTGAATCTTTACATGTTTTAGGCCATCGAACATTCTCTTCAAGGCAGATCTCGCCTTTGTTAACTGAGCTGACACATTCATTATTGAAACCTGCATAAATTTAGATAAAGTAAATTTTAAAAAATATATAATCTTTATGTAATCACTCTTCAGTTACTCGATCTATACTGTTTACTGGAAACTATAACTTCTAATATTTATATCCACCCATTCATCCCATGAAATAAAAAATGTATTGTTTATATATATTTTAAAATTATATTTATTCGACGTAATATAAAATATTGGTTTTTTATTATTTATTTATTTTTTTTTACTTTTTTTTACTTATTTCTAAATATAAATTCATAAATCATTCTTTTTATGAATATTAAATTTCCCATCAACCATTTCCTCAATAAATTCCTCCCGAAGATGTGTATACCTTTCGGGGGTATATAGAAAGTAATCCTCCAACTCCAAAACAAGGGATTATCCAATCTTCGTCCTTTTACACTGTGCCTTGAAGATGAAGAACTTTACATTTTCAGGCATCCTTGCCTTATAGATTTCTTATTAAATCTATTGAATTCGTGTGTTACCGTCTCAAGCTTTATTCGTTTTGCATTATTTTCAACATCAATTGGTATGAACGCTGTTTCTGTGGCATCATCTTTTTCATCGTTCTTCTCGTTGAAATAACTAACCAACCTATTATCCTCGTCAGTAGGATCGAATTCGACTTCTGCAGTCTCCTCGCTCTTATAGTTGCTGTTCTCCATGTTAATTTTATTATACGAGTATATATATTGTTTTTTGTTGTTTAGCAGTTGTTTTTTTTTGTTGCTTAGTAGTTTTTTTTGTTCACTTGTACAACGTCTGTTGAATGTAAAGTCGAAACTTGGACTGTGAATTTTGAAGTAGGCAGCCCCGATTTTTATACCATCCAGAAGTCACACATACAAACGTATATACGACACATTTGTTTCACCCTCCCTCCGCGTCCTAAGTGGAAGCCAATCAAAACGATGGGTTATTGACTGACTCCATTGACAAAGGAAAGTATAAATGAAAGACATAAATGGCCATGGTTGTATGTATCAAAATAATGTAATGTATATCATATACCACATACCACATTCTCGAATTCTTGGAGAGCGTGGAAGTAAATTCGAAAATATTTACGTGTTTTCTAAGAGTTTATATAAACCTAAATATGAGTACTTGGAAAAATTAATAAAACTTATTAAAGGAATGGGATATCATACTTTCTCTCATAACGATGGTGTATTAGACCCCAGTGAAGCAAAAAATAATTCTATTATGATATTTGATGATGTAGCTTGTGAAAAACAAGATAACATAAGACCTTATTTTTGTATGGGTCGTCATAAGAATATTGATTCCTTTTATTTATGTCAAACATATACCCATATACCTAAACACTCGTGATTCGTGATAATGCAAACTTTATAATAATATTTAAACAAGATGATTTCAATATGCGACATATATCTAGAGATCATATTAATACAGATATCGGGTACGACACATTCCTGGAAATTTGTAAAAAATGTTGGGAGGATAAATTTGGATTCTTGCTTATAAGTAAAGAACACGATATGGATAATGGAAGATATAGAAAAGGTTTTGATCAACATATTTTGATTTAAAAAAGTTATTGGATTTGGTATAAAAATAGATTAAAAATAAACATATCCACAGTCTAACAACAGATTTTATTATGTATAGATCAGTGACCTTGTCCTTAAATGGAAATAGTTCTGTTACAAGTACAAACCATTTTCCACCAATCGAATTGGATGGACGTTTTGAGTGTGCATTAATTGATTTTAATATGTACAATTCAATCCCAAATATAGACGAAAAAACAACCTTATCCATATTGGAACTAATGTAATCACCATTCCTACTGTGAAATGGAGTGGGCGGAGTTGTCCAAAAAATAAGCCCGGCTATCGTGGCGGATGTCGGCCGTAGAAGTTGGATGGGGGTGGTTGCAGCTGGAAATTCCCACAAGTCCAAAAAAAGAAGAAAGCGGCGAGATCGACTTCACGATGGGATGGCACTTTATTGGCTCACTTCAGATTTTAGATTAAGTTAAACTAAGTTAAAACTAAAGAGGAACCCAAACTGGACCGCGGAGTGGTGGGTTTCGCCGGGAGCGGGAGAGCACCGGAGAGCGGGAGTGCACGCGGGAGTGCAAGCGCCAGTGCAGCGCTCGCTCTTACACTGCCGCTCGAAACTAAGCGCCCTTATGGCGCTTGCTGTAATTTGCTGTAATATACATTCATATGTGCATATATATATTACAGCAAAATCACTTTCACATATCCACGTCCGGTACTGAACTGCATGTTGAAAATTCCAAATATATACACACACAAAACAAGCAAAAAATCCAAAAAAAAACAAACAACAAACACAAACAAACAACAAAAATTGAAGAACAAAACTTATGGTTTATAAATGGTACTAAATTTGTACGCAAACAAAGAAAAGCAGCATATGAGAGAAATGTTGTAGTTATGAAAACGTTGAAAAACAAACTGGTCAGATGGAAAACGCCTATCAAAGGAAGGGTTTATCCGGAGACAAACAAAGTAAAATGCCAGCCAGAACAGAACTATAAAGAGTTTGGTGGTGAAAAATGATGCTTCGAGTCAGAACCGACCGAGCGCTCCAAGTTGAAAAAGGAGGTTATAATGTCGATGTCGTATGACCCCCTTGCGATCCTGCGATCCTTACGGTCTCTTTGGTCTTTAACAAGACAAAGAGGGTTATCTGAAAAGATAAGACAAACATTACTAGAAAAACATATTCGAAGGCCCACAAAGCTAGAGAAAAGCAAAAAAAATAAGCCCGGCTATCGTGGCGGATGTCGGCCGTAGAAGTTGGATGGGGGTGGTTGCAGCTGGAAATTCCCACAAGTCCAAAAAAAGAAGAAAGCGGCGAGATCGACTTCACGATGGGATGGCACTTTATTGGCTCACTTCAGATTTTAGATTAAGTTAAACTAAGTTAAAACTAAAGAGGAACCCAAACTGGACCGCGGAGTGGTGGGTTTCGCCGGGAGCGGGAGAGCACCGGAGAGCGGGAGTGCAAGCGGGAGTGCAAGCGCCAGTGCAGCGCTCGCTCTTACACTGCCGCTCGAAACTAAGCGCCCTTATGGCGCGAACATAAACCTAAAGAGGAACCCAAACTGGACCGCGGAGTGGTGGGTTTCGCCGGGAGCGGGAGAGCACCGGAGAGCGGGAGTGCACGCGGGAGTGCAAGCGCCAGTGCAGCGCTCGCTCTTACACTGCCGCTCGAAACTAAGCGCCCTTATGGCGCGAACATTCTCCCCCCCCTTGCGGCAGCAAGAGTCAGGATTACTCCTCGTGGCATACTCCGGAGACGGTCCATCCAAACACGGTGCTCTGAGCGACGGGCAGCGGTAGGATTGAATACCTCGGGTACGTCTGCTATCCAAATCCTGGGCTGTGCGGGGACGCGGCACCATTATGTTGAAGTTGTGCTGCGAGGAAAAGAGACAAAAAGTTGGCTTAGTATGTGACCTCGCAGACGGAAATAGATTAATGGCTGGAAGTAGCCGGTTCCTTGCTCTCCATAGGGAGAAGGATAACCTTATGCACGGGCCGTTTTATTGTGCCGCGCGCCGTACGGACTTCAGCCACTCGAACTCGGCCATCGGCTCCGGGGAAAACAGAAACAATTCTGCCGAGCCGCCATTCGTTCGAGGGCAAATTATCCTCCTTAACTACCACCATATCGTCAATTTTGATGTTTCGGGTCGGAAATTGCCATTTGTTGCGTTTGTGGAGTTCCTTGAGATACTCCTCTTTCCACCGCGCACTAAACTGCTGATGTTGGGCTTTCAAATGTTGCCATCGATTGATTATCGACTTGGCTTCCGCCCTTTATCTCAGGCTCAGCCGTGGAAAGCAACGGCCCGCCAATCGTGCATTAATTGATTTTAATATGTACAATTCAATCCCAAATATAGACGAAAAACAACCTTATCCATATTGGAACTAATGTAATCACCATTCCTACTGGATCCTATGAACTAAATGATATAACTGATTATATTTATAAAAAACTTAAAGATTATGGTATTACAAAATCTTTTAAAATTAAAAGCAATAAAAATACTCTCCAAGTGGAAATAACCAGTACTCGGGAGCCGGTTTACTTTAATAAGGAAAGATCAATTGGCCAACTTTTTTGGTTTTGATAAAAGAGTTTTAGAGCCTCACCCTACAAAAACATATCTATCGGATCAGACTGTCAATATTTTCAAAATTAATACTATTCGTTTGGAATATAACATAATTAGTAGTTCATATGTAGATAATACACCTAATCATACGTTACATGAATTCGATATTAATGTTCCTCCTGCCTATAAAATGAATGTGACACCATATAATCTTATTTACTTGCCAATCAACTGTGATGAAATAAGCACACTCTCCATAAGCATTGTTGATCAAAACGGAGATTTGGTAAATTTACGTGGTGAAAACGTTTCGATTCGGTTGCATATTCGCATGATAGAATGATTATTTATAATAAAAGACCTGGTTCATACACTCATCCAAGCATTACTAATTGTAAAGCTATAGAAAGGGGATCTACTTTAAAAAAAAGGTTCACTTACTTTAAAAAATAAATTATTTTTAACGTTTCTAGGCTTCAAAGTTAAAAGTTAATAAAAATATACTGGAAGAAACGAAAGAACGAAATTTTAAATGTTCGATGACAGTATTTCGAAAAAAGAGTTTCATACCTATTTATCGTATAATCAAACATTTAAACCAAACGATGAAATTCGAATTACTATCCAAAATCAAGACTTGTATGTGCTCCCTCATGAAAGTTACCTCAACAATCAGGGAATTATTAGAAAAGATAAGCAGGCGGCCATACAACTGATAACGTTACCTCTTTTTTAAAAATAATTGTATGGCTTACTTCTTGGATGAAATGAAGTACGAAATAAATGGATGCGAGATTAATAGAACTCGATTTGTCGGTATGACAACTACTCTTAAAAATGTGTGATCACTTGATAACCTTCAAAGTCAAAATTTATCAAATTCTGGATGGAGTGGTGGAGATGTCCCATTAAAAAATTTATTGGGGTTTGCTGAAGATTATAAAAGGTTTTGTTGAATTGTAAACATGAACTTGTGCTAATGCTAACTAAAAACCTAGATGATGTATTTTTAAAATAGAGATTGGAACAAACATTTAAATTAGAAATGACCAAAATAAGTTGGAAAATTCCTCATGTGAACCCTAGTGACATTGCATAAATTAAGATGTATGATATGATTAAAAGTGGTGTTAACCTACCTATGGAATCATTTCGTAGTTGGGACTCCTACGTTAACCCGAAATTAGGACAAGGAACACACCACTGTTGTAGTGTTAAACTTTCAGCAAATCGGGAGAGACCTAGGTTTGCAATAATCGGATTTACACTGAACGGAAAACTTGTCACAAATAATTTATCAAACTTGAATTTTCATTTAAATTCTGACTCATACCCATATGATAATTTAAATGTCGGAATTTAAAAGGAAAGCTCCAATGAATGAAAATCCATCATTAAACCGGTTTAGATGAAACAGATTTCCCTATTGTAAAAATCGTGTCAGAGGTGGTGTGTGTGCTTTAAACATTTTAAATTTTTTTTAAAGTAGTTCAAAATAAATAAAAGATATCTATTTGCATTCACTTCATTTTGAAGTTGAGACCACTTGTGACATGACCTGTTTCACAAAAAAAAATATTTCGATTAATAATGAAATTTCTTAAAGAAATTGATAGTTTTTTTCTATTCTATTCATTTCCAATGCCTTCTTAAAACCAAAATTATGTTAAGGAATCAAGGTGCTCAAGATCTAAAAACAATGAAATATGGTGAACACTTTACATCCTGTAACACGGATTCGAGATTGGAAACATGCGCATGCCTCTTTTAAGTAAATCGAAGGAATGGAGCTAGAAAAATAATTTCATTGTATCAATAATTAATAAATAAACGTATTATGTTCTTCTCCGGGTGTTCCGCTGGCCTCCTTTATTGGAGGGCTCAATGTTCCTGAATATTGCAGAAATATGGCGGGAGAACTTCTCTCTGTTATTAACGGCCCTTAAGGCTCGATAACCAATTCAATAATTATTTAGCTTTCGCTGGAGTTATTTTAATAGAGCTATGCGCTCTTTATTCATATCAAAATCAAACTGAACTAAAAACTGTACGTGGCGGGCAAGCCGATCGCATGTCATACAAAAATGCTGACACTAGCAGAAGATGCATAACAGGCACGGCCCCGACTTATGCTTGGGCTGCACATAAAGGTACTAGGGTGATTTGAGAAACACCCAAGATTTGTACCGACTTATAAGACACTCCTTAACTATGTTAACTATTCCCCCCTTAGAAGTATGACCGTCCTCGGTCATCTGGAATTTAGCGACGACCTGTTGTATTTCCTGCGCCGCTCGTTTTCTCCTCAAAACTCGGAGGAGCAGGACAGAGCAGCTGATAAGGATGCTGATTTCCACGCCGATGGCCAACAAGATGTTGGTGACTCCAGCCGATTTTACGCCCTCCTTAAGCCCTTGGATAACCTCCAAGTTTTGGTTTGATGATTTTGGATTTTTTTGGTTTGGATGATGTTTAGCAATGGGGACTCTGCCATGCCAGGTGTTTTCTTAATAGCTTCTCGTTGATTCGAATACTTAGTGCCATTGATAAAAGCTACTTGCTCGAACGTAATTAGATGTGTGCCGTTGGTAGTTATCTCAGGGTCATCGTCAGTGCTAACCTGAGCTGGACACTCGTTGATAATTAGTATTCCGTCGTCTACCAACGTGATGGGGCTTAAACGGCTGGCCTGCGTTTCGCAGTGTGCTGTATCCCCCGCATGTAGGCCTCGAGCGCAAGTATCGTGGCACTATAGGAAAGTATTTATATTTTTGATCAGGATGAATAGCGAAGACGAATGAGCCATGTCCGTCTGTCTATCCGTATGAACGCTGGGATCTCAGGAACTATAACAGATAAAAAAATTGAGATTAACCATGAAGATTCTTGAGGTCCCTACGCAGCGCAAGTTTATTACAGCATCCTGCCACGCCCACTTTAACGCCCACAAATCGCAAAAAACTAAAATAGCTGAAATCTCAGGAACTATTGGAGCTAGAAAGTTGAAATTCAGAAAGTATAATCTTTAGATGCCAGCGCATCTTATAGTGCTTTTACTATCCGGCCACAGGGCTCAAAAGACGGTTTTCTGATTTTCTAGAAGAGCTGATATCTCGGTAGCTGTAAGAGATAGATTAAGCATGTAGGTTTTTATGATGCTCCCAATGCGAATTGTTTTTTTTCGATCAAGTCACGCCCACAAAACCCGAAAAACCAAAAATGCAAAGATCTCGAAATCTATATGAACACTTATTTAAGAGGTGCCTCTGCAACTTGCCACGAAGTTGCATCCGGCCACGCCCACTCTAACCGCGGAAAACTGAGGCGTCTATTATATTATTATGAATGTCTTGGTTTGACCCTGTATAACTTACTTCTGTTAATATCTATCGATTTACCAAAGATTTTTCAAATCGGAACAATATTTCGCTATTTATAAAAAAATTAAGGTTATAAGGCCTCACATGGGCAGTGACGTCACTAAAAGCATACTCAACATACTTTCTATGACAATAGGTGGCGCCTCGTGAATTTCCACTAGCAAAATAATATTTTAAAATTTTGTAAAACAGTAACGGGTATCTTATAGTCGTGGCACTCGACTATAGCGTTTCCTCTTGTTTTATCCTGCGTTTGCGTGTTGATGACTATCTGCCTGTTATTTGACTCTATCTGTCGGTACTCGGACATTTTAATCATTTCAAGGTCAGATGCTTCAGGAATGCCCGCTACCATCTTAAGTGCGGTACCTAATAAGTCTAGACTCCTGGCCATTCTATGGTGTACTTTTAATACGGACAATAAACTTCTTATATGGTCAGTGTCGACCTCTAGCAATTTTCGCATGTGCGGCTGTGGAAATAAATCGGACAACGACAGTTTTCATTCTACTAGTCTAGCTAACGTTCGATAAAACAATACCAACTAAACAGACAGAAGTGAAAACGAACAAATTTCCTTTATACCTGCCCTGATGTTAATCATACGACATATTCATTTTACCAGTCTTGTTTACTCCGATGAAATAATACGCAACGATCTGCTAAGGCCGGAAAACGTATGTATTATAAAAATGTAAAACGGATTTTCATAAATTAAAAATGAAGCAATTATTTATATTTTAATTAATATTATAATAATAATATTATAATAATAATAATTATTATTTACGTTATAAAAGATTCTATATTTTAGTTATTAATATTATATTAGA